GCCGGGCCCAGGCTGGGTTTATAATTTAATGGGCCAGGTCCGGGCTCAGATGTTTAGGCCTGTAATCAATTTGGGCCAGGCTTATGCCGGGCTTGTAATTTAATGGGCCGGACTTGGACTCCAGTAAACCTGGTCCAACCCGGCCCATTGTACACTCTAATTACATATCGTAGGATCAGATCTGTAAATTACTGGCATAATTTCCATTCTTGTCTCGTTCTAACGTCAAGGACATCAGATTGACTTGCGTAATACTAATTAAAAGATTCGTAATACGCATACTATGCCAGAACGTTCCAGAAAAAAGTTGGCAGATTAATTATTCATTGATCTATTCCCTATAGATTTGCAGTTAAATCACATGCTCTCATCTGCGGATATAATTCACATAAATAATGGCACTCTTATTACTGCAAAGAAATATAGGTGATGTTTAATGTGCATATTCGAAAAAAAAGAAATATTAATTTAGTCTATGTGGTTTACCTGAGCATCACATTGCTGAATCGCAAAACTTAACTAAGAAATCGAAAATTTCAGACAAAGGTTTTTTAATCCCAAACTCTTCTACACGCTTTTCATTATCAGGTGATAATTCAATGAGGAATTTTTCTTTAACGTCTATATCATCTAAATCCTTGCCAATGCTAATAGCATATAGCTTAATCATTTTAATGTATTCATTCACAGAGCTATTTCCTTGTGTTGGAGATGATACTTTATCTTCTTTAGGTTCTAAGACTGGAGAACTCGGAGGGGATGACCGATCTACCCAATTAATTGTATCTCTTATAAACATATCACTATATGATTCTCTCATTATATTTATTATTAATATTATACTATTTTTTAAATTAAAAAAATTCACATTACTGACCACTGCTCCGGGTTGATGATCACTGCTCCGGATTAGTTGGATAATCGGGAAGTTAATTAATCTTATTTTTGCTGTATGCACCTGAGTGAAAAACAAAAATAATGATTTAATCAATACACTTCATAGATTTTTGAGGAGGTGTGGCCCAGCAAAAATCTTCTGAACTAGTGATTCTGCTCCAGACCTGTGGACCGCAACACTAGTATGTTTTGTAATGTAACATATTTTTGTCTCTAGGAACATTAGTTTGACTTGAGTAATGCTAATTCAAAGATTTGTAATATATATTATCCCTTAAACCGTCCAGCGGCCAAATATGCCCGCTAGAATATATTTTTTTATATTTTTTATAATTGCTTAAAATTTTATTAAGAATAAGTACCCCTATTTCTAAGCTAAAATAAAAATTTGAGATATTTT